GAAGGCCGCTGGCAGGCAGGACCGCCCTGCTAGAGTTGCGCCCGAGGGAGGGGGGGGGGGGGCTCTAGGCGTGTGATCGAGCTCGAGAGGGCGTCTGGGCACGTCTTGGGCCGTCTGGGCACTGGGGGCTGGGCTTGCCGCATGTGTCGGTTGGCTCGAAGGATCACGCTGTACTGGGGACCACCTGAGTAGAGATCGCAGCGAAGCTGGAATCCCTGTCCCAGTGCCCCTCCAACTTACCAGTCTGGTCTGCACCTGAACCAAAGAAGATCACAGCCCCCCCGTCTGTGGGATGTTCCGTGGATTAGTTTGCCCCTGGAGGTGCGGTCACTTCTGGTGCGTGGCAACCGAGAAGGGTCGGTTCCTTTTGCTGGCGGAACCGTGCTTGAAGAAATGCACCCCCTCGGGCAAGAACTACTTGAACCGAATTAAGAAGGACCTCCCCCCAAAGCCAGGAAAGCCCTGGCCGATCCCACCCCTTGCCGAAGGGAGAGAGTTTTTGATGGGACAGGGAGTTGCCAACACCCTCTGCAGGAAGCATAAGAAGAAGACCCTTAGGCAGAGATCTACTGTGGGCCACCCCCACAGGGGGGTGTAGATAGCCAGCTGTGTCAACGATGCAAACTGGCTCTGGCCCGATCTCCCCGATCTCCCTCCCCTACTCTCACATCTCCCTCGTTGGCCAAACACCTTGGCCCGACACCCTCCGCCCCCACCCCCCCTCGAAGACCAAGCGTTTGTCGAGGCTGCTCAAGTTTTGGCATCAGCTGGCCGCAACGCCTGCGCCACACGAGGTTCAAGGCCTCCCCTCTTCTCCCTTCCCCCGTCCCCCATCACCCTCCTCTCATCTCATCCCCCCTTGGGCCCCGGGCACGCTGCCTTGGGAAGAAGACCCAGGGTGCAGCAGAGGGAGAAACAGAGCTTGGAGGAAGAGGGAGCAGCAGAGGGCGAATGAGCAGAGGCAGAAGAAGGATAATAATAATGATAAGCAAAGAAATAGCGGAGGAGAAGGAGGGATACATATAAAGAGAGATCGAGAGAGAAAGAGTGCGCTCTCCCGTCGAGTAGGAGATCGACTATACAATCGATGTGTTCAGAATTTATATGTTCGTCGAATCTACAACCAAATTGATATAGTGCACGTGGGTCTACGAGCATTCTGCGCGTTCCTGCGTAGGTTCGACGAGAACACCCAGCCAGGGGCACATCGATGCTGCAGTCGATCGCCTGCTCGATCCCTCGAGGATCCTCACCCCTAGCCCCCCCACTCCCCCGCGGAGGGCCCCCCCTCGAGCCGGCGCCTCCCTCGGACGGCCGACCCCCGGGCCTGTCCCGTCCCGGGCTGCGCTCGTTGGCCAGGATCTCGAGGGGAGCCTGGCCCTGGGGCGGCGAGCCCTGGGGGGGGGGGGGGGGGGGGTAAAACAGGGCTAGGATCGGGATAAATCGCTCCAGAGCGTTCCGGAGCGCTCTCAGAGCGTTCCGGAACGCTCTGGAGCGGCCGCGGCGCCCAATACATCCTCCAAACCCGCCGATTCTCAGAGATTTCGAGTCATCCCGATCCGATTTTGTGCCGATCTTCGTGTCGTTTCTAGGGGGGGAAGCCAGAACCGGAGAAACAAGAACGCCACGAGCATTATCTGTGGGCGCTCCGGGCGGATTCCTTGAGTCCGCGCTGGGCCTTCCAGGCGTCGCCTCCAGCGCCTCCCCCAGCGCCGCCCATGGCGCGCTCCGCGCACCAGGGAGAGGGGTCCAGGGCAGATCCAAGACATTTGCGTGGGGCGTCAAAAGTTTATGTGTGCGCTGTTTTTTAATAGAAGGGTCGACCTCTTCAGAAGGCTGGGAAGTCCCCGGGCCTTCTGAGCAGGTTGCCAGGCTGGCCCCGAAGACATAGGCAGCTTCTCAGGAAACGCGGGGGGCCTTCTGAGAAATCCCGCCGCCTTTTGAGAAGGCCTTCTTCTCATTTCCCCCTCTCGCTTGCCGCCGATTCTTGGAGGTCTGAAAAGGCAGAACAAACATCGAACAGTTTGAGCCTCGGGCGGCAGGAGGAGCTGCAGAAGCGATTCATCATCATCATCAGCAGCAGCATCAGCCTCATCATCATCAGCAGCAGCAGGATCAGCGTCATCGTTATACTCATCTTCGTTAACCATGCTATCATAATCACCACACTGGCATCTTCGTTACCATCGTGATCAGCACCATCAACGTCATCCTCGTCATCATCCAAGACCTCCTCCACCCTTGTTCCTCCTCTACTCCCTCCCCATCCTCACCCCACCTTCCTCCCTCGAGGGGAAAGAGGAACAGCAGCAGTGGGTCGGCGAGGGTCACGTGCACGTTGCTACCGTTCTGCGCACAAATTGTGTGTTCACAAATTGTGTGCATGTTCAGAGCATCGACAGTGCAGAGCTCCGGGCCCCCTTGGGGCTGTTCAGGGGGTCTCTCGGCGCCCTCTTGGCGGCTCTGCAGTTTCGGTGCACCGAAGCTGCAGAGCGCCGAAAGGCCAACGCACGCGGCCTCTCTTGGGGCTGCCCTGGGGGTCTCTCGGCGCCTTGTTGTGGGCTCTGCAGATTACTGCAGAGCACCGATAATACAAAGCACCCGGCCTACCTGGGTGTCACTCGGGGCCGTCTTGGAGGCTTTGCAGTTTCGGTGTTCTGCAGTGCACCGGAAGTGCAGAGCACCGGGGATCTCTTGAGGCGCTCTTGGGCGTCTCTCGGGGCTCTCATTGGGTCTGTGCATTTTCGGTATTTTGCACTTTCGGTGCTCTGCAGTTTCGGTGACATGCAGAACACGTCAGAGGTGCTCTGCAGTGTCGGCGCTGTGCATGTTCTGCAGGCCAGGCAACTGAAACAGTGGAGCGCCCCGGGGAATTCCCCTTTGGGTAAGCTACCCCTGTTGAATGTCCCCGGGTGAACTCTCCCAAGGTGATTTTCCCCTTGGTGAATGGCCCCGGGTGAATTCCCCTAGGTGAACTCTCCCAGGGTGAATTTGTCCTGGGTGAATTGCCTTGGAGCAGGTCCTGGGGCCCCAATTGTGGATGCGGTGGTTGTCATACTAGTCTGTCTGGTGCCATTACGAGTGGACCGACGCGGCTAGCCACGTTCAGTCTCTCATGCCTCGCGGCCACCTGCCCCCCATGGACCCGAGACATGTGGGCCTAGCATCGTTAGATCGCAACGAGGTGTTCGAGATTCAGGTGTACTTTAAACTTGACCTTGAGTTGCACGAGGACGGGTTAACCGGCATGCCGCGCACATGGTTCGGGACGTTATGTTGGGACAACCCGACCACCATAGGCGTAAAAGTGTTCTGCCAGATAGGGGACAACGATCATAATGATATCGCGACGGGCAACGTCGCCATCCAGTTCGCCACCATTGAGCTTGTATGTGACAGCCAAAGTGGCCGATGCAGTACGAACATTTCCGCAACCTCCCCGCCAAACCAAAGGAGTACGATCTTGTGATCCTTTTCGTGCCATCTGTTCCCAGACCAAGCTGTTCGTCGAGATGTCCAACCGCGTACCCACGTGAAAGATCACGAGAGGTTATTGGCCAGCCCCCGTTTGGCATCGATACATGAGGCGCGCCGAGGCGGTTAATTATGTGGCAGGCGTGAGATCCAGCACATGATTGACTATGCTCTGTGGTTGCGTCGCGGCAGGTAGATGGTTAACCCACACTATGGCTATGAAAGTGATGATCGCGTGAACGAGCCAGGAACATCACAAGGTACACAGTATGCGGAGTTGCCAGATCGCTCGTATTGGACGGCATGCGGACGTTACGACAACATCAAGTTGAAGACGGTTGAGCAATTCGGCAACATTGCAATGCTTTGTGGCCTATATAAGGTGGTTAGGGTTCGCGCCGTAGCCGAAATCGACCAGACTTACATGAAGGTGGATGACGCAGTTAACCGAAGCCGCGGGCAGTTTTCATTCGGACACACACACGCTAGGCACATCTAGTTTGTGTGTTTGTTCTGCCTCAAAAAGTTGCACTCGCAAATCGAAGCCCGCCGTTGCTGGTGTGGCTTCAGAATGCAGGCCCCGGCTGTGCGATAAACGCGCCAGCGTTTGAAGAGAGCCCCCCGTAAATTTGCGGTCTGACTGGGATTGGGCGAACTGACCCGCATAAGCATACATGGATTTTGACTGTTCACCAGGTGGAAAGAGTGGCTTGCGAAGGGCCAGAGTACATAAAGGGCCGGACGCCAGTCTCCGAGCGAGTTGGGTCCGCCCATCGGTCAACATGCCAACGCGTGCCAACATGTGCCCCGCGCCGCTTATACGAACGGTGCGTCCGAGAGGATGGGCAGCATGTAGCCTGACAAGCGCTGGAAGAGGCGACACGTTGCTTGCGTTGCTGGTCGGCCCAAGTATTGCGGACCGCTGTCGAATGGTGGGGATCTTACGAGAGGCGAGTATACCTGTATCAGCGCCCTCGCGGTCCGGATTCCCGTGCGCGATCGGACCTGGGGCCCGGCCCGCGTGGCCGCGGATACGGATATGTGTTTCGACAACAAGAATCATGGTCGCAGTCATTTCCTGTTTTCTGCTACCGTTCTGCATATAAGACGTCTGCCCTCCTGATCCTCCTCCGATTCCTCCTCCATCCTCCTCCTCTTGGGGTACGACGGCTTCCCCAACTCGCTATTCCACTTAATGCTCCTTCACATCCCTGATCAGGGCAACCTGCCTGGGCATCGTTCCTGGATGGGCTGATGGGTTTACACGAAGAGTCTGATGATAATGATGATGACGATGATAATGATGATGCTGTGTTCGATGATTGTGATGGAGATGATGATGATGATGATGATGGTGATGATGATGAAAGTGATAATGATGGTGATGTTGATGATGATGCTGATGATGATGATGGTGATGATGATGATGATGATGATGATGATGATGATGATGATGATGATGATGATGATGATGATGATGATGATGATGAATTTGCAGCAGAAAGAGGCGGCGGACGCGGCCGCAGGTGGCCGGACGGGAGGTCCTACAACGGGCAGTGGTGCGACGGCAGGCAGCACGGCACCGCCGTGGCCTGCACCGCGCAGGGCATGAGAAGGCCCCGGCTGCCCCCGACGACGACGACGACGACGAGGATGAAGACGATGACGACGACGATGTCGACGACGACGACGACGAGGGCGGCCGTGGCGGCGTCGGCGACGACGACATGACGACGACGACGAGGGCGACGACGACGACGATGACAACGACGACGACGACGACGACGACGACACGACGACGAGGGCGGCGGCAGCGGCGACGACGACGACGAAGACAACGACGACGACGAAAACCGACGACGGCGACGACGACGACGACGACTGCGACGACAAAAACCGACGACGGTGACGACGACGACGACGACGACGACGACGACGACGACGGCTGCGACGACCGCTGCGACGACGACGACCACCACTACGACGACGACGACTGCGACGATTGCGACGACGACGAGGGCGGTTGTGGCGGCGTCGGCGACGACGACGACTACGACGACGACGACGACGACGATGACGACGACACGACGACGAGGGCGGCGGCGGCGGCGACGACGACGTAGTCAACGACGACGACGAAAACCGACGACGACAACGACGACGACTGCGACGACCACTGCGACGACGACGACCACTGCGACGACGACGACGACGACGACGACGACGACTGCGACGACGAAAACCGACGACGGCGACGACGACGACGACGACTGCGACGACCACTGCGACGACGACGACGACCACTGCGACGACGACGACTACGACGATTGCGACGACGACGAGGGCGGTTGTGGCGGCGTCGGTGACGACGACGACATGACGACGACGACGACGACGACGACGACGACGACGACGACGACTACGACGACGACGATGACGATGACACAACGACGAGGGCGGCGACGACGAAGACGAAGACACGACGACGATGGAGACGACGACGACGACGACGACGAGGGCGGTTGTGGCGGCGACGGCGACGACGATGACATGACGACGACGACTACGACGCCGACGACGATGACGACGACACGACGACGACGTAGACAACGACGACGACGAACACCGACGACGGCGAATATGACGACGACTACGACGACGACGATGACGAGGGCGGCGACTGCGACGACCACTGCGACGACGACGTCGATAATTTCTGCGATGACGACGACGCCGATGGCGATTACGACGACGACAACGGCACGACGGCGACGTCGGCGCCGACGAAGACGACGACGACGACGATGGAGACGATGACGACGGCGACGACGAGGGTGACGACGACGAGATGACCCAGACGACGACGACGACGACCACGACGACGACGACACGACGACGGGGGTGCCAGCGGCGGCCACGACGACGAAGACAACGACGACGACGAAAACCGACGACGGCGACGACGACGACGACGACGACGACGACGACGACTGCGATGATCACTGCGACGACGACGACGACGACAATTCCTGCGATGACGACGACGACGGCGACGGCGACGGCGAAACGACGGCGACGTCGGCGTCGACGACGACGCCGACACGACGACGATGGAGACGACGACGGCGACGTCGATGACGACGACGGCGACCACGACGACGACGACGACGAAGACAATGTCGAGGGCGGTTGTGGCAGCGTCGGCGACGACCGCGACATGGCGACGACGACGACGACGACTACGACGACGACGACGACGAGGGCGGCGGCAGCGACGGCGACAACGACGAAGACAACGACGACGACGACGACGACGACGACGATCACGAACACGACGACTACGACGACGACGGCTGCGACGACCACTGCAACGACGACGACAATTCCTGCGATGACGACGACTACGACGAAGACGACAATCGCGACGACGACGGCGAAGACACGACCGCGACGTCGGCGACAACGAAGACGACACGACGACGATGAGGACGACGATGACGACGACGACGACGTCGACGACGACAACGACGATGACGACGACGAGGGCGGTTGTGGCAGCGTCGGCGACGACGACGACATGACGACGACGACGACGACGACGACGACGACGACGACGACGACGACGACGGCGGCCGCGACGACGACGACGACGACACGACGACGATGGCGGCGGCGGCGACGACGACGAAGACAACGACGACGACGAAAACCGACGGCGACGCGACGACGACGACTACGGCGACGACGACCACATCGACGACAACGACGACAATTCCTTCGATGACGACGACGACGACGGCGGCGACGACACGACGGCTACCTCGGCGACCACGACGACGACGTCACGACGACGAGGGAAACGACGACGACGACGTTGATTACGACGACGACGTCGTCGACGATGACATTGACATTGACGACGACGACGACGACGACGAGGGCGGTTGTGGCGGCGTCGGCGACGACGACGACGACCACGACGACGACGACGACACAACGACGAGGGCGATCGCGCCGACGACGACGAAGGCAACGACGACGACGAAAACCGACGACGGCGACGACGACCACGACGACGACTACGACGCCGACGACGGCGACCGCGACGACCACTGCGACGACGACGACGATAATTCTTGTGATGACGACTACGGCGACGACGATTGCGTCGATGGCGGCGACGACGACACGATGGCGACGTCGGCAAAGACGAAGACGATGACGTCGACGACGACGACGACGTCGACGATGACGATGACGACGACGAGGGCGACGTCGAGGGCGATTGTGGTGGCGGCGGCGACGACGACATGACGACGACGACGAACACGACATGACGACGACGACGACGACGACGAGGACGACGACGAGGGCGACGACGACGGCGACGGCGACGGCGACGGCGACGGCGACGGCGACGGCGACGGCGACGGCGACGACACGACGACGAGGGTGGCGGCGGCGGCGGCGACGACGACGAAGACAACGACGACGACGACGAAGACTTTGACGAGGGCGATTTTGCAGGCGACGAAGACGTCATGACGACGACGACGACCACTGCGACGACGACGACAATTGTTGCGATGACGACGACGACGGCGACGATCGCGACTACGACGGTGACGACGTTGACATGACGACGGCGAGATTATGATGACGACGACGACGACGACGACTGCGACTGCGATTGCGACTGCGACTGCGACTGCAACGACGAGGGCGATCGCGCCGACGGCATCGGCGGCCGCGGCGGCGGCGGAACGGACGACGACGACGATGGGGATCTAGGATCGAGGTTTCTGGGCAGTTGTTGGGCCCCTGGGGGCCTCTGGAGGCCTCCGAGCTCCTCCGGAGACCTCTGGCGGCGACGACGACGACGGCCAGGGAGACGACAACGACGACGACGACGTCGACGACGACGACGACGTCGACGACAGGGTCGACGACGACGACGAGGACGTCGACGACGACGACGACGACGACGACAGGGTCAACGACGACGACGACGACGACGACGACGACGACGACGACGACGACGACTGGGTCAACGACGACGACAGGGTCGACGACGACGACGACGACGACTGGGCAGGGGGGGGGAAGTTTGGATCACCCGCAGAGACCCGAAGGTTAGTCGCGCGCGCGCCGCCGCCCAGGCCGGACAGCTGCTCTTCTCCGAGTGGCCTCGCGAGGGCGCGAACATAGTAATTGCTCGTCGCACATCGCGGGGAGGGGTAAACCCCTCCCCGAAGGGGAAGAAGGAGGGGTGGAAGAGGAAACCCTCTAAACCACCTACGCCCAGAGGGCTGGTGGGATTGCTCGTCGCACATCGCGGGGCGTGAGGCTCGAGGTTTGGTGGCCCAGGGGATGGGGCGGGAGGGATTTGGAGATGCTCAGACGAGTTTTTGGCGGTTCGTCGACGCCGTCCGAGGTCTCGAGGGGCCTTCGGCGGTTCTCGGCTGCTCTCGAGGGCTCTTGGGCTCTCAAGGGGTCTCGGGTGCTTTCGAAGGTTTCCACAGGGTGATGCTCGGTAAGATCGAAATCGGTACAGAAAACACGGGACGAAGACCGACTGGAGTTCCCGCCTTTTTTTGAACAGGAGTTCTTGTCGGTGTCTCCGCCGTCGTCGTCCGTCTGAAACAAAACCCCTTGTGACCACCAGCGGCTGCTGCCGGTTTGGGATATCTTTATTTGTAGGGCACCGCTTCCCCTTCCCAATGTGCCCAGTACCCACTTCGGGCGCCCTCGCAGGAGGAGACCAGGGGAGGAAGGGACGAGGAGCGAAGGAGGGGAGGGCGGAGCAGGGAGGATGGAGGAGGAAGGTGTGTCCACCAGTGGCTGGTACCGCGGCACCCCGTTGTCTTTGAATGCGCTGCGTTCTTCTACCTTGCTCAAGGTTCAGAGGCAGACAAAACGTTCGTCACCAGCCGACGACGGACCGACCGAAGGCCGCGGTAAGGACAACGACGAAGTTCCATGCACTTCTTTCTACCTCCCTCCATCGTCCCCTTCCTCCCTTCCTTCCTCCTCGTCTTCCTCCCCTCTTCGCTTCCCTGGGCTGACACTCTTGGCAGACCGAGGCGACCTCAGGGGCACGGGGACGAGTTCCTTGCGGGACATGGGATGGGAGGGAGCGGAGGGGAGGAGAAACGAGGTATGTTGAGGTCGCCGCCAAGGCTGAGGGTTGCCCACAGGGGGACGTGTCCGCAGACGGCGGGACTGTTCCAGCGGCCGCGTGTTCACCGAGGAGTTCTGATGGTGTCGGGGTCCTGGGGCGGTAGCTGCCTGCTGTCTGGTCGCGAGCCGCGAAGAGCGACTCACGAGTGACCCCACGTCCAGAGTTGCCGTGTGATGCGGCTGAGGGCTGACGCAATCAGAGGCGAAGTGTGCCATCGGTGGTGAACGACCAGTCGTGGCTGGCAGCACGTCGAACCCGTCCGTAGAACCATCCTCGGCCTCCTGATCTCTCCACCTGTCCCTCCCCTTACTCCTCCTCCTCCTCCTCCTCCTCCTCCTCCCTCCTCCTCCTCCTCCTCTCCTCCTCCTTCTCCTCCTCCTCCTCCTCCTCCTCCTCCTCCTCCTCCCTCCTCCTCTCCTCCTCCTCCTCCTCCTCCTCCTCTTCCTTCTTCGACATGCTGTCGGGCAAGGCACTGGCCTGTAGCGTTCAGGGAGCATGGCCCGACTCGCCAGCGCGGCAGCGCCCGTCGAGGTGCAGCAAAACGACCTCGGCGTATTGCCCGCCCCGCCACCCCCTGAAGATACCCACCAGGACAGGGTCTGTTTCGATCCGTTCGATCTGATTCGATGTCGATGTCGGCCCGCCCAATCCGATGCGGATTCCGGTATCTTGGCGATCCGACGCGGCCCGATGCTTGCGCGGCGTTGTTGTCTGGCGCGGTCGATTCGATTCGCGTTCGTTTCCGATCCGATACGGTCCGCTTCGATGCACGTGCCGATCCGATCCGAGTTCCCGGTGCGGTGCTGGCTGTTCTGCCCTGGAGGTGCCCACCAGGAGCGCCGAGGGGCCGAGAGCGTCAGGAAACTCGGAGTCGGCGGCCGTGACCTGGTCTTGGGCGTGGGGAGAGGACGAGGAGAGCCTGCCGAGGCCTCGAGGGGGGGCCGAGGGGAGGCCTCGAGGGGACACCAAGGCCACAGGTCGCAGCCCAGGAGGATCGACCAGCCGTGTGGTCGGACCGGTTTGGGGAGGGTACCCTAACTCGAAGAAGCAACATCGCTGTAAGCATCAATTGTTGGCGCTCTGCGCGGATCCAAGAAATCCGCCCGGAGCGCCAAACAAAAATGTTTATGGCGTTGTTTCTTCTTCTACTGACGCTCTTCGTGTTTACCGGATGCTCTTGGGCATCATGGGGGAGAGCATTCTCGAAGGTTCTTCGGTTTGGGCTGGCGGAGGGTCTCCTGTTCTTGAAGGATGCTATTCTGTCCCGAGTCTGACCGGACGGCCAGTCCCCGTGCTCCGGAAGGGCCCCCGAGCTAGCCCTCAATGTCCCAGCAGGAGCTCGAAGGCCGGCGTGGGCGACCCCGAAGGTACCAGGCGCGGCGATCCGGAGCGAGAAGCGGCGAAGGCAGGGAGAGGATTTTCGGTGCTCCATTCGATCGGGGATTGTCGAAAGCATCCGTCTGCACTCCCGAGGGCGCTGAGATCGGTTTACAGGTCTAGTTCTAATCGAAAAGCCAGCTCCGCACTGCAACTGTTCTGCTGAGGGTCGAAGTGTCATTCGACTTGATCTCGAGATGGTAGACAGGAGTAGTCCTGGCCGCAGACCAGAAGCAGGCAGCGCAGCAGGCGATCCACCAACCCCACTTGTTCCCTACCTAGGCTCTGCCTAGAAGGGTTCTTACTCTGTAAGCTTAAAGGGGCCCGGGCAGTGCTAATCGCCCCGGGCGGTTCCCCCAGTCCCCTGGGAGCCAAGCAAAAGCAACAGCAAAGGTAAAAGCAAACGCGCGGTTCCCCCAGTTGCGCTCCTTGGGTGCCAAGCAAAAGCAAAAGCAAAGGCAAAAGTGAAGGCAAAAGCGAAGGCAAAGCAAAACCATAGCATAACATCGTATATCATAGCGCAGCATAGCCTAGCCTAGCCTAGCCCAGCATAGCATTGCGCAGCACAGCATAGCATAGCATAGCGTATCATAGCGCAGCACAGCAACCACTAATTGCTGATGTATATATATATATATATATGCATGTACTTATTTGTGTGTGCGCACGCATGTTCCACGTATAGGAGGACGGCGTTTACTTCTCCTACTAATGTTGCTTTCCTAGAGGCTCCAACTCCTAGGTAGGGTCGCACTGGGATAATAAGTATCCTGTATTGGAAGGCAAAGTCTATCTGCTTTCAGAGGATCAATATCTCGGGCCTATGCCAAACACCGTTCTCACGTTCTAGCCACAAGCGGTCATAGATACGTTGGGTGTCGGTACGTAGATAGACACATCCAGGGTGGATACGTCGATAGACAATGAGGCCGTGGCGTTCGGCGCAGTACAAGGTCGGAGAAAGGGTAGATCCGTCTACGGTATGTTCCTGACCTAGAGCAGGTCCCACAAGGTACTCCAAATCCTCCACAGCCCCAGCAGGAGTCGCAGGCCATGCGAGAGATCGCGTCCCACGTGATGGGATGAAAGCTCCTCTTCCTCCTCCCCCTTCTCCTCCTCTTCCTCCTTCTCCGCTTCGTCCTTGTCCTCTCGTTGCGTGATAACCGGCCCTGGACCAAACCTCCGGGTCGACTTTGGAGGTCGCCGCGGCGATCGCGGCGGCCACACATCGGGGTAATGTTGTTATCAAGAAGTGGTTTGCCCCGTCTCAGCCCCCATCTGAGGATCGGCAACCCCTTCAAGTCGTTTTGTCAGGGAGTGGCTCTGCGGTGTAGACGCGGCTCATCCTTAACAGCATAGCAGCACATAGAGTTGTCGATGTATGTCCAAAGTGGGCAATCATTGGTTTTCGGGTTCAGTCAGCCCGCATGGGAAGGATGGGCAGCTGTCCCAGGGGTACCCTCGCATCCTTGCCTCCTCGGCCCATCCTTGGCCACTTTTGTTGGGCCGCGCCCCGCTCGAGAAGCCTCGAAATGGGCGTCCAAGGCCCTTGCCTCCTTCTCGCACATCCTTACTGTGCGGGCTCACTGCAGAGGTCGCCTGTCACACATCCACGAGGTTGGAAGCTGCCGCAGCTTCTCGGCGCCAGCTCGGGATGCTCTCCCGCGGCGGCGCCTCGCCGAGGGCGCCCCACGGGTGCCCGGATCCTCCCGCAGGGACGCCAGGGGACCCAAGCGGTGGCCCGAGGTACCACCCAGGGGAGGGGCTCGGGCGGGGCAGGGCCCAGGCGGGTCCGCTGCTCGCGCCACCAGAGCCTCCCCCGAGGATCCTCCGCCCGCGCGCCTCGCCACGCCCGAGCGCCTGCCCGTCGCCTCTTCGCCCCTCCTCCCGCCCGTCCCCCGCGCTCGGAGGGAGAGCCGCTGGCTGGACGGCCGCTTCATCGAGTGGCTCGGGGAGATCATCGAGGACTTCCCCAGAGGGAGGGCCTTCTCCGCCGCCTCCTTTTTGTCCTCCTCCATCTTCCCCTCCCTCTCCCCCTCCTCCTCTCCTCCGCCTCATCTCCCTCCTCCTATCCCTCCTTCTCCCCGTCCCTCTTCTCCCTGTCCTCCCCCCATCCCTCCTCCTCCTCCTCCCCCGCCTCTCTCCATCCCTGGATCCCTTCACCTCTTCCGGGAGGTCGATGACCGAGGTTGGAAGACTTCTCCCGCAGGGAGGACGGAGGAGGAGAGCACCAGCGAGAGGAGGGAAGTTTTGATTCGACGAGGGCGTCGCGTGCGTGTGGCCCAAGAGCTAGCACAGGGTGCCAACTGGAGGAGTCTGAGCAGCACGCGCTTAGGTAACAACCCCAAAGCGGCCTGACGAGAGGGTGCGACGTGCAACTCGCCCCAAATGGCACCCCTGGGAACGGCCGAGGGAGCTGTGCTGGATGAGCACTGAAGGGACTACCACGGCGTTGGTCGAAGGGAAGGGGTGCAAAAACAGTGGCCTAGCTTCCGCGAGGGCATCAACCGATACGGCCAGCGGGATTTCAGCCCCTGCGGCCTAAGCGTCTGTGAAATACAGCAGCAGAAATGTTGATGCCGATGGGGTGAGAAAGTAATGCTGATGATACGTACGCAGATGCATCTATATTTATAAATACACATAAAGGGAGAGGAGGAGGAGCTGGAGGAGGAGGAAGGACGTGACATATCAGCCGGCGTGGACCCCAAGCAGCGCGTTTTTAGTGATATGTAGTGTGCGATAAGTGTCGGACATTGTATATTGTGGAACACCAGTTGCACATTATAATTTATAATGTACACGTTGGGCAAGACATGTGGTGCAATCGATGTGTTTCAACTCACCTTGCCGAACTTGAACTTGTCAACTCCACTGCTCGCGCGAACATCCCACCCACCCACCCGCAACTTGGTTTGCAAAACCAATGCGGCGGCGATTGCCATGAGTGCTTGGTGTTGGCTGGTGCATCACTGCGGTCTCGCTCGCCCGTGCATGCTCGCGCGCGCAGCGGCCAGCTTGTTTGGCGCGACCGACGCGACCGCGGTGGCGCTGACCGTTGGGCACATCCCAGCGGACACTTCACTGCGGGTCGGCGTGTTGGGCGGGCGCGGTATCATGGCAACGTCGACAACGGTAGACACGATGATGCTAGTAGCGGTGTTGGTGGCGATGCTGACAGCGGCGACGGCACACGCCAGTCACGGCGTCGATGCGGATCACGCCGACGACGATGACGGCGTCTTCGCGTCGGCGGAACAAAAGGTTGTGGACGGAGTTCGACGTGCGCGCGCGGCCGACGCGCGAGAGTGGCCTTCATGGTAATATGTGACGCGGATCACCCCCCCCCCAGCACGCGCGCAAGGGCGTCCGAAAGCTTTCGACGTGCGGCGCGAGTGGATCGATCGTTTGGCAGAATTCAATGAGCATGTTAAACGACGTATGGTTTCCTCGAGAATTCGCAAAAGCGCGAGCGCAGTTTGTTGGTTGAAAACTGGTGCAGCGAAACCATATGTGTTATATGTTTTTGGACACTTGATTTTGGAATCCTTACGGAACCGAAGGTTGGTGAAGGATTCCGGCATGCGCGCGCGACGACGAGCGCGATTGCGCTTCGACTCATCGTTTGCAAAGGAGTCCTCGACAGCACGCGCGCATGTGCGTTCGAACGATTTCGACACGCGCACGCGAAGCCCGTTGGGTGGCAGTTGGTGAATACATTGAAAACAATGTGTTTCCTAGAAAAAAAGGATCGTAAGAGCGCGCGCGCACTTTTGGTTTGAAAACCGCGTTGCGAAACTATGTGCGTTGGTGTATATGTGTGTTTGGGCACTCGCTTTTAAAGCCCTTATGCAACCGAAGATTGTTCAAGGATTTCGGCATGCGCGCGCGACGACGAGCGCGTGTGTACTTCGTCTCATTGTTTAGCAAAGGGGTAGTTGAATGCTTACGATTTTTGTCAAGCGTGCGTGCGCGCGTATTTTTTTGGCGGAAGATGGTGGATGGGTCAACACGGGTTGGACCGGGATGGGATAGGTTCATAATTCGGATGGACGATCGGGCAGAGGCATGTGCAAATTGCAATCCGAATGGAAGCCGAATATCCACGAGGGTCGATGTTTTGTGAAAAAGGATCATTCACCCATGCTCATTACTGATTAGTCATCTTCGCGATTCGCGAAATCATCCCACCAACGAACCCCACCAACAATTTGGTTTGTAAAACCCAGCCATGCAGCAACGATGCACTAACGCTCGCAGGCTCGCGCGCAGAGCGGCCAGCTACTTTGGCGCAAGTGACGCGGCCACGGTGGCGCTGACCGTTGCGGACTCCCCAGTGCGTCTCGCAGGCTTCGTTGACGCACGGACAACTCAGTGCGAGTCGGTGATTTGGGCGGGCCCGGCATCATGACGACGTCGACAATGGCCAACACGGCGGTGATAGTAGCGATGATGGTGCCGGTGATGACGATGACGACGGCAAGGCCATGGACGGCCCCGATGCTATTCAGGCCGCTAACGACGATGGTGTCCACGAGCCGGTGATGATGGGTCTGCCAAAATTCCAAACATAAACAGAGTGGTTAAACTGTTTCGACATGTGCGCGCGAAGACGCGCGCGCGTGGATTATGTGTCATCCGTCGCCAAAGATTTTGGCAAATGTTGATGTGATATACAGGGGAACGAGCGCATACTAATATTTGGCAGGGATGAAAATGGGGGTCGGAAGCGGCATGCTTGGGATGGTATGGGGTCATAGTCAAGATGAGCGACGGGACCGTACCATGTGTAAACCGTATTATCAAACCTAGGGGGGCGGGCCATGGAGGTCATGTCCGCGGTAGCACGCGCTAGAATGGCAGATGTAGCGACTGCAGCCGTGGTGCAGATGCGACTGGAACCCAAGCGCGCGTGGCTCGATTGTTTACACATGTGTAAACATATATATATATACACACATACACATATACATACATACACACATACACACATACACACATACACACATACATACATACATACATACATACATACATACATACATACATACATATATATATATATATATATATATATATATATGGAAAGAGGGGGGAATACCAACAAAATTGGAGAGAGAGAGAGAGATGTACAATAATGCATTGGCGCTTCGCGCCATCCACGTTGGTGTTTCAGGTTTGGCATGCAGGCAAAAAGGCAATGAGGCAATGGGGCGACAATTCGCTGTTGTTCGTTCGGGCATGGTCGTTATACGAATGTTATTCGTTATCCTACCCTCATGTTTCCTCTTACTCTTCCTCGTTCTCGCCCTACCGTCCGACTCCGCCACCATCATCAGCTCTTTTATTAAAGGAGGCCTGTCCTAGGAGAGCCTCTTGTAAGTCTCACGAAAGTTTTCTACGGGTTTGTTAGACCCGTGTGGAATCCTCCCAGGTACAGTATGGGGGCCATTGCGGGCTTCCTCAGGCCACCCTGCTTCCAATCGCCGTCTCCCTGAACGACTGGGTCACGATTTGGAATGATTCGGGAGGCGTCTTGGGGCCATCTTGAGCCTTCATGGGGTTCTCTTCGGGCCATTTGGGGACCCTGTTGGGCCGTTTGAGGGTTCCTCCTAGATTGCCTAGAAGCTCTCTTGGTTTAATTTGTGCTCAGGCCTCCTGGGCGTTCTCGGACGCCTGGAAGACCGAAGAACTGAGCATTCCCCAAATCGCGCAAAAACCATAGGAGATCTATGTTTTTTGCGTTTCGAATGCTTCTTGGGTCGTCTTTGGGCGTCTGGTGAGTGTCTGGGGCCTCTGTCGGCTCTCGCGGGGCCGTCCGGCCGCTCTCCTGACCGATTTGGGCCCGCTGCCGAGGCCCAGCAGGGGCTGCAGGAGCCCCGGAAAGCACAGGGGAGCGTCTGCAAGGGCGTCCAGGGTGCCCTCGGGGCCAAGTATGTGGAGGGGTCCCGTTTAGGGGAGGGGCTCGCAGGGTCCCAGGTTTGAAAACATAGAAAAAGGGAATTATATATATATACATAGTATGAATACACACATACATACATGCATACATGCATTCATGCATGCATACATGTCTACATGCCTACATGCCTACATACATACATACATGAATCCATACATCCATGCGTGCATGCATACATCCATGCATGCATGTATGCATACATACATACATACATATACACACCAGACCGCGTTGGCGCTTTGCGCCAGGCACCTTGGTCTTGAAGTTCTGCATGCAGGCGACATGGCAGGAAGGCCAAGCAGACAATTTAACGATAATTCCTTGTTGCCTTTTCCGGCATCGCCGTTATAATAATGTTACTCGTTATCTCTCCTCCATATATGTCTTGTTCCTCTTTCTCGCACTACCGAGGCCTCTTGGGTGTCTTCTGGATGCCTCTGGGGGCTTCCTCAGGCCACCCTGCCTCAAGCTGCGGTCTCCCTGAACGACCGGGTCACGATTTGGAATGCTTCGGAGGGTGTATTGGGGCCATCTTGAGCCGTCATGGGGCTCTCTTAGGCCATCTTGAACCTTGCAACCTGTTGTGCCTTCCTGAGGCTCTCTTGGACTGCCTGGAAGCCCTTTGGGAGGATTTTGGAGCGTCCCGGGCGGTCTTGGACGCCTGGAAGACCAAAGAGAACAGGGCATTCCTAAAAGCATGCTAAATGTTTGGGACATCAATGTTTTCCTGTGTTTTGGAAGTCTTTTGGGGCTCTTCTTTGGGTCGTCTTCGGGCGCCTGGGCCTCCGGGGCCTCTTGGGGCCCTCGGGGGTTCGACCGCCTCCCGACCGATCTGGGCCCGCAGCCTAGGCCCGGCAGGGGCTTCCAGGAGCGACGCTCTGGAACGCTTCGGGGGCCTCCTGCAGAGGCGTCCAGGGGGGTCCCCCGGGGCCACGGATCCGAGGGGTCAAGGGGGTCCCCGGGACCCAGGGGTCGATTTCGGGGGGGGGGGGGTCTTGGGTAATATGAATGCAGAAGTGAG